TGAGTTTCGTGTTGTTCAAAGAATACTAAGTATATTAGGAAAAATAGGCGAAATATATAACCCCGCCCACCCACCCCTTCTCAATTGTGATGCTTTTCTTTTATTCTTAGATAATTAAAACACGTTTAAAATGGTAATTTTTTTATGAAAATATAGATTTTGCAATTAAGCCCCGCCCCATTGGCTCACGACGAATAAAAAATAATCACAATTGAGATAGGGTGGGTGGGCGGGGTCTATATTTTTCCTTTTTCTCTTAATATACATCGTATTCTTTGAACAACACGATACTCAGAAACATGTTTTTAATTTATAGTAAAGAAATAAGCATTTTCCAGTTAAGCTCCGCCTCCTTGGTTCATGGCGAATAAAAAATTATCACAATTGAGAGAGGGCGGGTGGGCGGGCTTACATTTTGTATAGGGAAATATCGTTTTTGCAATTACGCTCCGCCCCTCGGTCTGACAACGAATGAAAAATTAATTACGATTAAGATCGAGACGGATGGGTGAGGCTTCTCGTCTGGTTTTCTTTTTTAATTAATACATTTAGTTTTCTTTGTATAACACGATTACCTATTTCACATGGTAATTTCTCGTAGAAAAATAAGGATTTTACAATTAAGCTCCGCCCCTCGACTCACGATGAATGAAACAAATCATCAGAATTGAGATAGGGCAGGTGGGCGGGGCTTATATTTTGCCCTTTTTTCTTAATATACATAGCCATTTTTTCACAAGAAACTTAAAACATGGTTAAAATAGTTTTTTGTAAGGAAATATGGATTTTGCAATTATGAGGCGGAGCCTAATTGCAAAATCGATATTTCCTTACAAATTTTCCATTTTAAACATGATTAAATTTTCATGTTGTGAAAAGAAGTCTACACATATTAAAACAAAAAGGTAAGCCCGCCCACCCGCCCTGTCTCAAATGTGATGATTTTTTTTACTCGCCGTGAACAAAGGGGGCGGAGCTTAACTGCAAAATACCTATTTCTTTGCAAGAAATTAAAACTTTGAGTACCGGTTTGTTCAAAGAATACCATATATGTTGGAAAAAAGGTAAAATATAAACCCCGCCCACCCACCCAATCTCAATTGTGATGATTTTTTTTATTCTTAAAAGTTAAAACATGTTTGAAATGGTAAATTTTTGTAAAAGAGTATGGATTTTGCAATTAGGCTCCGCCCTCTTGGCTCACGATGAATAAAATAAATCGTCAGAATTGAGATAGGGTGGGTGGGCGGGGCTTATATTTTGCCCTTTTTGCTTAATATACATAGCCGTTTTTTCTCAACAAGAAACTTAAAACATGGTTTCTTGCAAGGAAATATGGATTTTACAATTATGGGGCGGAGCCTAATTGCAAAGTCGATATTTCCGTATATAACTTTTCCACTTTGAACATGTTTTAAGTTTATTATAGTGAACAAAAGTCTACACATATTAAAACAAAGAGGAAAATATATGCCCGCCCACCCGCCCTATCTCGATTGTGATGATTTTTTTTATTCGCCGTGCGTCAAGCTTAACTGCAAAATCCTTATTTCTGTAGAAGAAATTAAAAACATGTTTTTGAGTATCGTGTCGATCAAAAAATACTATGCATATTAAGAAAAACAGGTGAAATATAAACCCCGCCCACCCACCCCATCTTAATTGTAATGATTTTTTTTTATTCTTAACTACTTAAAACACGTTTATTAAAATGGTAAATTTTTGTAAGGAAATATGGATTTTGCAATTAGGCTCCGCCCCTAGGTCTGTCAACGAATGAAAAATTCACCACACTGAGCTTAGAGTGGATATGGGTGGGAATTAATTTTTGGCTTGTTTTTTCTGAATATACGTAGTATTCTTTAAACACGATACCCAGAAACATGTTTTTTATTTCTTGTAGAGAAATAAGGATTTTGCAATTAAGCTCCACCCTCTTGGCTCACGACGAATACAAAAATCATCACAATTGAGACAGGGTGGGTGGGCGGGCTTACATTTTGTATAGGGAAATATCGATTTTGCAATTAAGCTCCGCCCCTCGACTCACGATGAATAAAACAAATCATCAGAATTGAGATAGGGCGGGTGGGCGGGGCTTATATTTTGCCCTTTTTTCTTAATATACATGGCCATTTTTTCACAAGAAACTTCAAACATGGTTAAAATGTTTTTTTTTGTAAGGAAATATGGATTTTGCAATTATGGGGCGGAGCCTAATTGCAAAAATCGATATTTCCTTATACAAATTTTCCATTTTAAACATACATTAAGTTTCATGTTGTGATAACAAGTCTACACATATTAAAACAAAAAGACAAAATGTAAGCCCGCCCACCCGCCCTATCTCAATTGTGAAGATTTTTTTTATTCGCCGTGAACCAAGAAGGCGGAGCTTAACTGCAAAATACTTATTTCTTTACAAAAAATTAAAAACATGTTTTGAGTATCGTCTTATTCAAAAAATACTATGCATATTAAGACAAACAGTCGAAATATAAACCCCGCCCACTCACCCAATCTCAATAGTGATGATTTTTTTATTCTTAAAAGTTAAAACACGTTTGAAATGGTAAATGTTTGTAAAAGAATATGGATTTAGCAATTAAGCTCCGCCTCTCGACTCACGATGAATGAAAAAAATCATGAGAATTGAGATAGGGTGGGTGGGCGGGGTTCATATTTCGTCCTTTTTTTCTTAATATACACAGCCATTTTTTCACAAGAAACTTAAAACATGGTTAAAATAGTTTTTTGTAAGGAAATATGGATTTTGCAAGTATGGGGCGGAGCCTAATTGCAAAATCGATATTTCTTTACAAATTTTCCATTTTAAACATGATTAAAGTTTTATGTTGTGAAAAGAAGTCTACACATATTAAAACAAAAAGGCAAAAGGTAAGCCCGCCCACCCGCCCTGTCTCAATTGTGATGATTTTTTTTATTCGCCGTGAATCAAGGGGGCGGAGCTTAAATGCAAAAAACTTTATTTCTTTACAAGAAATTAAAAACATGCTTTTGAGTACCGTCTTGTTCAAAGAATACTATGTATACTAAGAGAAAAAGGAAAAATATAGACCCCGCCCACCCACCCAATCTAAATTGTGATGATTTTTTTTTATTCTTAGAAACTGAAAACACGTTTAAAATGGTAAATTTTTCTAAGGAAATATGGATTTTGCAATTAGGCTCCGCCCTCTTGGCTCACGACGAATAAAAAAATCATCACAACTGAGATAGGGCGGGTGGGTGGGGCTTCTCTTTGGTTTTATTTTTTGATTAATACATTTAGTTTTATTTGTATGTATAACACGATTACCTATTTCACATGGTAATTTCTCGTAGAAAAATAAGGATTTTACAATTAAGCTCCGCCACTCGACTCACGATGAATGAAACAAATCATCAGAATTGAGATAGGGCGGGTGGGCGGGGCTTATATTTTGCCCTTTTTTCTTAATATACATAGCCATTTTTTCACAAGAAACTTAAAACATGGTTAAAATGGCTTTTTGTAAGGAAATATGGCTTTTGCAATTATGGGGCGGAGCCTAATAGCATAGTTGATGTTTCCTTATACAAATTTTCCATTTTAAACATGTTTTAAGTTTCATGTTGTGATAACAAGTCTACACATATTAAAACAAAAAGGCAAAATGTAAGCCCGCCCACCCGCCCTATTTCAATTCTGATGATTTTTTTTTATTCGCCGTGAACCAAGAGGGCGGAGCTTAACTGCAAAATACTTATTTCTTTACAAAAAATTAAAAACATGTTTTGAGTATCATCTTATTCAAAAAATACTATGCATATTAAGACAAACAGGCGAAATATAAACCCCGCCCACCCACCCAATCTCAATTGTGATGATTTTTTTATTCTTAAAAGTTAAAACACGTTTGAAATGGTAAATGTTTGTAAAAGAATATGGATTTAGCAATTAAGCTCCGCCTCTCGACTCACGATGAATGAAAAAAATCATGAGAATTGAGATAGGGTGGGTGGGTGGGGCTTATATTTTGCCCTTTTTTCTTAATATACATAGCCATTTTTTCACAAGAAACTTAAAACATGGTTAAAATGTTTTTTTTGTAAGGAAATATGGATTTTGCAATTATGGGGCGGAGCCTAATTGCAAAATCGATATTTCCTTATACAAATTTTCCATTTTAAACATGTTTTAAGTTTCATATTGTGAAAACAAGTCTACACATATTCAAACAAAAAGGCAAACTGTAAGCCCGCCCACCTGCCCTAACTCAATTGTGATGATTTGTTGTATTCACCGTGAACCAAAGAGGCGGAGCTTAACTGCAAAAAATTGTATTTCTTTACAAGAAATTAAAAACATGCTTTTGAGTATCGTGTTGTTCAAAGAATACTATGTATATTAAGAGAAAAAGGAAAAATATAGACCCCGCCCACCCACCCTATCTCAATTGTGATGATTTTTTTTATTCTTAGAAACGTAAAACACGTTTAGAATGGTAAATTGTTGTAAGGCGTTATGGATTTTGCAATTAGGCTCCGCCCTCTTGGCTAACGACGAATAAAAAAAATCATCAGAATTGAGACAGGGCGGGTGGGCGGGGCTTATATTTTGCGTTTATTTCTTAACAACATACATAGTATTCTTTGAATAACACGATACTCAAAAACTCTGAAACAAATTTTTATTTTGGCAATTCTGAATTATTGACAGCAACCTGACTTTGTGCCATAATTTTAATTTAACAATCAAGTGTGCCATTAAAAATTTTGAATATGTTGCCAACCTGAGTAAAAATTACAAACAATAAATAGTCACTTGGCACTTAATTCATTCAGGGTTGCCAACTTTATGCACACGTATTTTAAAATTCCTATCTACAATAATAGTATCACTGATTATAATATGGCAACACTGGAAGGACGCAAGATAGTCTGCCCGATAAAACATAATATGTATATCAAAAAAATTCAAAGCCTGCTCTACACACATGCACTTCGCTCCTACTCACCAAAAGTGACAAGCTTCTCAACAATGTCGATATTATCCTGATACACCGCCGCCATCAGCGCCGTCAACCCATTCTCCGAGTGCTGGTAGTTCACCGGCATCCCATCCGACAACAAATAATGCAACAATTGCGCCCAAGCTTGCTCCCTCTCTAGCCCCAAGCAATGCATGCACTGCATAATCACATCATCGTACTGCGAATTCTGCTCCTCAGTCAGAAACACCGAATTCTCACTAAACAAACTTTTCGTCTCGAGGACCACCGCGTCGTACCCCGTCAACTCCAGCACGTCGTCCAAGAACAGCTGCTTGATGTTGAACAGTCGCCCGGGAATGGAGAGCATCTCCGCTCCGTCGAAGTACGACTGGAACTTGTCCACATTGATCGTCGCGGACATCAAAACCAGCTTGATTTTAACCCCTTTCCGAAGACTCTCCTTCAAACAAATTAACAGGAAATCGGAAAGCTTGTCGCGCTCGTGCACTTCGTCGATGATGATGTGGGTGAGGGAGGAGAGGACGCGGTCGCCGGACATTAAACTCCTGATTAGGACTCCGTTTGTACAGTAGATTAGGTTGCAGTTGGTTCCTAGTTTGGACTCGAGGCGGATGTGGTAGCCGACGGTTTCGCCGACACTGGCGCCCCGCTCTTGAGCCACGCGCTCCGCCACTGAAACCGCGGAAATTCGGCGAGGTTGAGTACACAAAATGCGACACCGTTCGCCCCTTTGTCTCGCATCGTCCATGATATACTGAGGAATTTGAGTAGTTTTACCGGAACCTGTTTCCGACGACAGGATCAACACGTCGTTGCTCCTAACTTTCGACACTATAGTGTTCCGCATTTCGTATATAGGGAGTTGTTGTTGGAAGTTCCGAATGTGGGGGGTCGGTCTAGCCTCGGACACCTCCGGCGGCGGCCCCAGCGACAACTTCCCGAAAACCTTATCGCAACAATTCAACCTCACTGTGTTCTTATACGGATTGTCTATAGTGTACGACTGCATGACCCTCTCCAACTCGCGAGCCGACTCCGCGGAAATATCGATATAAAACGACTCGAAGTTTGATTTGTGACCTTTTTTGTAAATTGTTAGGACTCTGTTAGGGTCTTTCCCGTGCGACCGCGACACCAAATTATGCATGGCGGCCTTCTGGTGGATGTGTTTGCGTTCGAAGTTGTTCAGGTTCGGCGGGAACGAATATTCTTTGTTGGAGTCATCGGAGAGGAAGGCCTGGAAGGCTTTGTCGACTTCGATGCGGAAATTCTCGGAGGTGGCTTCGAGGACGTCGGGGTCCACGCGTTCGAGCCAGGACATCCTGGAAGAGTGACTTTAGCGGGATATTAGTGACAAGGTGATTTTCTGACCTGTTTTTCTTTTTCATTCGGGATGACATTTTGGGAAAGTGTGGCAAATATGGAGAAGAAAGTGGCGTGTCGTTGCGATTTGGTAAATTGTGCTGAGTTTACGTTAAATTAGTGCATTTATATTAATTGTTTTCAAAGTTTGGGTTTACATAACCTCAATTTTATAACTGTCAGTGGCAGTTGACGTAATGTCAACAAAATGGAAAGTCAGTGGCGCTCAAAATATTTGGCGGGGTGATGGCTTGAGGGACGTCACAAATTTAAGTGTTTATATTTTTTTGAAAATGAAGCGAAAATTCAAAACGATTTTTTTATCTAAATTGACAAATACATCATGAAGAAACATAAATAGAGATTATTTAGGTGGACCGTTGGACGACAGGCAAGTTTGAATTACCCGCCATTTGTTGGCCGAAATGCAACCAGCAATTCTTCCCCAAATTTACCTGATCAATAAAAAAGTCAAATTTTATTAATGGGGCAACTCCAAAACGATCTATTACTATAGAACACGTCACTAAAATGGATTGGGTAGACACAATATTACTGAATATTATTCTTGTTAATATGTGTAATTCTAACTGCAATTTGTCTTTGTTTTTAAGAATGTGAATAAATTCACTGCTTTTCCGTTGATACCTAAAAACACATATTTGTACCATTTTTATAAATTGTTTTCAATAATTGTTGGTTTTTGTTAAAAAGGACCGTATTTTGAATTAATTTATGGTATATCTTGATTTTAATAAAAACATTATTATTTAAATAAAATTCACCACTAACAAATGTTTAATACAACAAGAATCTCTAGATACATAGAAATACCGAGAAGGTTTTACATTTTTAAAAGACAGTTGGGCCCCCCGAGAAGGTTTTACATTTTCAAAAAAGACATTTGGAGCCCCTGAGTTTTACATTAAAAAAAAAGACAGTTGGACCCCCGAGAAGGTTTCACATTCTTAAAAAAAGATATTTGGTGCCCCTGAGAAGGTTTTACATTTTTAAAAAAGACAGTTGGGACGGACCCCCGAGAAGGTTTCACATTGTTAAAAAAAGACAGTTGGACCCCCGAGAAGGTTTCACATTCTTAAAAAAAGATATTTGGCGTCCCTGAGAAGGTTTTACATTTTTAAAAGACAGTTGGGACCCCCGAGAAGGTTTCACATTCTTAAGAAAGGGATTTGGCGCCCCTGAGAAGGTTTTACATTAAAAAAAAAAAAAGAGTTGGGACCCCCGAGAAGGTTTCACATTAAAAAATAAAAAACACATTTGGCGCCCCTGAGAAGGTTTTACATTTTTAAAAAAGACAGTTTGGACTCCCGAGAAGGTTTCACATTCTTAAGAAAGAGAGTTGGCGCTCCTGAGAAGATTTCACATTTTTAAAAAAGACAATTGGGACCCCCGAGAAGGTTTCTTATTCTTAAAAAAAGACAGTTGGGACCTCCGAGAAGGTTTCATATTGTTAAAAAAAAGATATTTGGTGCCCCTGAGAAGGTTTTACATTTTTAAAAAAGACAGTTGGGACCCCCGAGAAGTTTTCACATTGTTAAAAAAAAGACAGTTGGACCCCCGAGAAGGTTTCACATTCTTAAAAAAAGATATTTGGCGCCCCTGAGAAGGTTTTACATTTTTAAAAGACAGTTGGAACCCCCGAGAAGGTTTCACATTTTTAAAAAAAGACAGTTGGGAATCCCGAGAAGGTTTCACATTCTTAAGAAAGGGATTTGGCGCCCCTGAGAAGGTTTCACATTTTTAAAAAAGACAGTTGGGACCCCCGAGAAGGTTTCACATTCTTAAGAAAGGGATTTGGCGCCCGTGAGAAGGTTTTACATTTTTAAAAAAGACAGTTGGGACCCCCGAGAAGGTTTCACATTGTTAAAAAAAGACAGTTGGACCCCCGAGAAGGTTTCACATTCTTAAAAAAAGATATTTGGCGTCCCTGAGAAGGTTTTACATTTTTAAAAGACAGTTGGGACCCCCGAGAAGGTTTCACATTGTTAAAAAAAGACAGTTGGGACTCCCGAGAAGGTTTCACATTTTTAAAAAAAGACAGTTGGGACCCCCGAGAAGGTTTCACATTCTTAAGAAAGGGATTTGGCGCCCCTGAGAAGATTTTACATTTTTTAAAAAAAGAGTTGGGGCCCCCGAGAAGGTTTCACATTAAAAAATGAACAACACATTTGGCGCCCCTGAGAAGGTTTTACATTTTTAAAAAAGACAGTTTGGACCCCCGAGAAGGTTTCACATTCTTAAGAAAGAGAGTTGGCGCTCCTAAGAAGATTTCACATTTTTAAAAAAGACAATTGGGACCCCCGAGAAGGTTTCACATTTTTAAGAAAAACAGTTGGGGCCCCCGAGAAGGTTTCTTATTCTTAAAAAAAGACAGTTCGGACCTCCGAGAAGGTTTCACATTGTTAAAAAAAGATATTTGGTGCCCCTGAGAAGGTTTTACATTTTTAAAAAAGACAGTTGGGACCCCCGAGAAGGTTTCACATTGTTAAAAAAAGACAGTTGGACCCCCGAGAAGGTTTCATATTCTTAAAAAAAGATATTTGGCGCCCCTGAGAAGGTTTTACATTTTTAAAAGACAGTTGGAACCCCCGAGAAGGTTTCACATTTTTAAAAAAAGACAGTTGGGAATCCCGAGAAGGTTTCACATTCTTAAGAAAGGGATTTGGCGCCCCTGAGAAGGTTTCACATTTTTAAAAAAGACAGTTGGGACCCCCGAGAAGGTTTCACATTGTTAAAAAAAGACAGTTGGACCCCCGAGAAGGTTTCATATTCTTAAAAAAAGATATTTGGCGCCCCTGAGAAGGTTTTACATTTTTAAAAGACAGTTGGAACCCCCGAGAAGGTTTCACATTTTTAAAAAAAGACAGTTGGGAATCCCGAGAAGGTTTCACATTCTTAAGAAAGGGATTTGGCGCCCCTGAGAAGGTTTCACATTTTTAAAAAAGACAGTTGGGACCCTCGAGAAGGTTTCACATTCTTAAGAAAGGGATTTGGCGCCCGTGAGAAGGTTTTACATTTTTAAAAAAGACAGTTGGGACCCCCGAGAAGGTTTCACATTGTTAAAAAAAGACAGTTGGACCCCCGAGAAGGTTTCACATTCTTAAAAAAAGATATTTAGCGCCCCTGAGAAGGTTTTACATTTTTAAAAGACAGTTGGAACCCCCGAGAAGGTTTCACATTTTTAAAAAAGACAGTTGGGACCATCGAGAAGGTTTCACATTCTTAAGAAAGGGATTTGGCGCCCGTGAGAAGGTTTTACATTTTTAAAAAAGACAGTTGGGACCCCCGAGAAGGTTTCACATTGTTAAGAAAGGGATTTGGCGCCCCTGAGAAGGTTTCACATTTTTAAGAAAAACAGTTGGGACCCCCGAGAAGGTTTCACATTCTTATAAAAAGACAGTTGAGATCCCCGAGAAGATTTCACATTCTTAAGAAAGAGAGTTGGCGCCCCTGAAAAGGTTTCACATTTTTAAAAAAGACAGTTGGGACCCCCGAGAAGTTTTCATATTCTTAAGAAAGGGATTTGGCGCCCGTGAGAAGGTTTCACATTTTTAAAAAAGAGATTTGGCGCCCCTGGGAAGGTTTTACATTTTTAAAAAAGAGAGTTGGGGCCCCCGAGAAGGTTTTACATTTTTAAAAAAGAGAGTTGGGACTTCCGAGAAGGTTTCACATTAAAAAATATATATTTGGAGCCCCGAGAAGGTTTTACAATTTCAAAAGAGACAATTGGGACCCCCGAGAAGGTTTCACATTCTTAAAAAAAGACAGTTGGAACTCCCGAGAAGGTTTCACATTCTTAAGAAAGGGATTTGGCGCCCGTGAGTAGGTTTCACATTTTTAAAAAAGAGATTTGGCGCCCCTGAGAAGGTTTCACATTCTTAAAAAAAGACAGTTGGGACTCCCGAGAAGGTTTCACATTCTTAAAAAAAGAGAGTTGGAACTCCCGAAAAGGTTTCACATTCTTAAGAAAGGGATTTGGCGCCCCTGAGAAGGTTTCACATTTTTAAGAAAAACAGTTGGGACCCCCGAGAAGGTTTCACATTCTTAAAAAAAGACAGTTGGGACTGCCGAGAAGGTTTCCCATTCTTAAGAAAGGGATTTGGCGTCCCTGAGAAGGTTTTACATTTTTAAAAAAGAGAGTTGGGACCTCCGAGAAGGTTTCACATTAAAAAAAATATATTTGGAGCCCCGAGAAGGTTTTACAATTTCAAAAAAGACAATTGGGATTCCCGAGAAGATTACACATTAAAAAAAGACATTCAGTGCCCCCGACAAGGTTTAACATTCTTAAAAAAAGACAGTTGGGACCCTCGAGAAGGTTTCACATTCTTAATAAAGGAATTTGGCGCCCCTGAGAAGGTTTTATATTTTTAAAAAAGAGAGTTGGGCTCCCCGAGAAGGTTTCACATTCTTAAAAAAAGACAGTTGGAACTCCCGAGAAGGTTTCACATTCTTAAGAAAGGGATTTGGCGCCCCTGAGAAGGTTTCACATTTTTAAAAAAGAGAGTTGGGACCCCCGAGAAGGTTTTACATTTTTAAAAAAGAGAGTTGTGGCCCCCGAGAAGGTTTCACATTAAAAAAAATATATCTAGGGCCCCCGAGAAGGTTTTACAATTTCAAAAAAAGACAGTTGGGACCTCCGAGAATGTTTCACATTAATAAATAAAAAACACATTTGGCGCCCCCGAGAAGGTTTTACATTTTTAAAAAAGACAGTTGGGACCCCCGAGAAGGTTTCACATTCTTAAAAAAAACAGTTGGGACCCCCGAGAAGGTTTCACATTCTTAAGAAAGAGATTGGGCGCCCCTGAGAATGTTTTACATTTTTAGAGAGTTGGGGCCCCCGAGAAAGTTTCACATTAAAAAAATATATCTGGGGCCTCGGAGAAGGTTTTACAATTTCAAAAAAGACAGTTGGAACCTCCGAGAAGGTTTCACATTAAAAAATAAAAAACAAATTTGGCGCCCCCGAGGAGGTTTTACATTTTTAAAAAAGACAGTTGGGACCCCCGAGAGAGTTTCACATTCTTAAAAATAGACAGTTGGGACCACGAGAAGGTTTCACATTCTTAAGAAAGGGATTTGGCGCTCCTGAGAAGTTTTTACAATTTTAAAAAAGACAGTTGGGACCCCCGCGAAGGTTCAACATTAAAAAAAATATATATATTTGGGCCCCGGAAATGGTACTGGATTCTGGATTGTAAATTTTTGGGTGTTGACCGTAGCCAG